TAACTTTTGCAGCGTCGTTTGAAATCCTCAGTATCTCTTGTATAAATCTCTTTCGTATGTTAACTCTCAACCAGTGTCGCTTTTGTTGAGATATGTTATATTTTTACAAATTTTTGAACAACAAGTGTGATTCTCCAATGCTTTGTTGGTTCTATATGTGTTAATGTTCCTCCGAGATTACTTCGCGTTGACTTTCTATTTATAACACCTACTCTTAGAACCAATGCCTGTCAAAACTTTCCTTTATTGAGAATGGCAAGATCAGCAAATCGTGTTAACATAGATCTGTTTCAGCATTCTTTCTATGCATTTAAAAAACTGCTCTTTGCTACAGTTGGTGTGTTGCCTCGAGCGTTCATTTTGATATATGATATACTAATTTTATGTATTAGGCCTTTATGCCATACTTTATTGAATGCTAGTGCTACATCAACAAATATAGCGGAGCAATTTTTTTTTTCCTTCAGCGGTTTTTTTTATCAGATCAGATATTCTGTGTACTTGATCAATTGTACTATGTTTTTCTCTAAATCCGAATTGATACTCAAAAATAAGTTGGTTTTGTTCTATTAATGGTTTAAGCCTTGTGAGGAACAGTTTTTCCAGTTGTGAGGAAGCAACAAGATTGGTGTGCATTTTTTCTGCAACTAGTTTACTAATTTCTTGAGGGTAATTGTTGCCAGCACTTTTACGTTTCAATTCTTTTGTGTTATTCCAAGCTGCACGCTGAATATCTCGTATAAAGTTTTCCACTTCATCTTCTACTTCTTCTTTAGTGTTCAGTTGAACGCTCAACCGGATTTTTCCTTCAAGTTCCAATCTACAGCTTTCCCAATCCGTTGTAGCATTCGTCAGGGTTGGTTTTCTTTCCTTTTCAATAATCTTTTCACTTAAAGTCTTAAAGCTAGGTCGTAGTTATCATGCACCAGCAAATTGGGTGAAAATTTCTTTAATATAAAGAAGTCCAATAAATCAGATCTCTTATCAGCATCAGTAGGCCAGTGGGTTGGGTTTCCTAATGAATGATGATTGGCTTTCAGTAGTTCTTTCCCTTTTGTAGTTGTGACTTCTGATCCCCATTCAGTGTTTTTTGCATTAAAATCGCCACCCAACCCAAGAGAAATTTGTTTCCAAGATGGTGTAAAAGTAGCTTTTATTTTGATATTTCCTCCTTTTGCAGGGGGATTTTTTCGTGCTGTTCGATATTTTCTCTTATAATTATTAAGCTATCAAGGTTGCTAGGTCTCACGATTTATTACAAATTATTTGACATCTACTTCTCACGATTTTATTACAAAAATAATATAATAATTAATGTTAATAAAATCAAAGTAAAATCATAGCATTTCAACTCGAATTGTAGGTTACTGTAAATTCTCTATTAGTTACATCTATTCGCCGCTAGATGCCGCTAAGAAATTAAGATTTTATTTCAGATTTAGAAAGTAATTAGATGACGCTAAATACTTTCTAGTTTTTCTAGTCTTTCTCTTAAATTTATCTAATAATAAATCTCTAACTGATGTGCTGTAAGTACAGCTCTGTTTTGATCTTGCTTACCAGATGATGTTTGGGCATATATTTTTTTACTTACAATATTAGAAGTGAATTGTCTAGGTTCTTAACTGCAGTTCTTAAACTTAACTTAAAAAAAAATAAAATGTTTTTTTACCCCATCTGTTTTCATTTGAGCAGCAGCTTTTTCATATTCAGGTTTTAACCTTTGGCAATGTCCACACCAAGGGGCATAAAACATGATTAAAACGGAAGCTTCCTCTCGAATAACAGGATCAAAGTTATTGGCGGTTAAATGGACCACATCACTATCACTATCAGACCATTCTGGATCTTTAAGTTTTGTGGTGGGAGCTGAGGGGCTTCTCATAAAAGCTACAATACCAACTTTGTTGTTTTCACCTTCATATTGATATTTAACAACACCACTTCTAAAATTATTAGATTAATTTATAAAGTTATTAAGAAAACATTGATTTTGTACTCATAATAAAGTAAAGTAGGAAATCCAGTGATGTTATATTGAGCCCTTACTCCAGAATTTTCGGGTCGATTTACATCTATTGCTGCCAAATATGCTTCACCTTGAAGTTCAGTTGCAGCAGCTGAATATTCCGGTTTTAAACTTTTACAAAAGCCACACCATGGAGCGTAAAACATGATTAGAATTGGTTTGGTTTCTTTTCGAATGAATTTTGCTAAACTCTAAAATAAAAATAAAAATCTCAGTAATAGTTTAAAAGGAATTATAAGAATTACCCATAACATTTTTGCTAAATTAATATGGTAATTTTGAAAAAATTTACATGATGACATATGATTTTGAAAGTGTCACTCAAATATTCACTTTTTTTTTATTATTTACCTGAGCATCTGAAATGTGAACTACATGATTTGCTGAACTATCCTCTTCCCATGGAATATCTCCAGCTGGATCTCTCATAAAATTAACCATTGAAGAAACAGTTCCTTTCCGATCATAATCTTTATGGTATTCACCATCTTTGTAGTGCTTTAAAATACTAGGTTCAGGTGAGACCTTTAATTTCTTACAAAGCTTTCGAGCCTCACTTGAACAATCCACTAACATCATAGTACCTTGTCCTTTAACCGTAAAAGCCGCTTCTCGGACAACTTTAACAATATCAGAAGCTTTTTTTAAACTGCTCACAAAACATACTAATAAATTGGTTTTTGTGCGAACGACTTTTTTGAAGTCTTTGATATCTGATACATTTTCAATTACAACGTTTTTATTATTCGTTTTTGCATTATTTGGAATAAAATAAATTAATAACTAAGAAAGAAAAGTGAGGTTACAAAACGATAATTAAGAAATTACGTCGATCTTACCAATATAAAGCTTAAGTAAAGAGATTTCATGATTAAGTAAAACTGAGTAAAGTACGAGATTCACCGTTTTGGACCTAAATATAGAAAATGTCGTAAATATTTAGATTAATTTTAAATTGACGCGGACGTAAACACATTGAGGTTATGTTTTTGGGTGCCGCTTTGTGACAGATGTAAATGTCACATTAATATAAATGTTATATTTATGGTGTTTATAGCAAAACAACAAATCATTAATTATTGGGATTTATAAAATTAGATTTATTTAATGAACAAATAGATTTTAATTTTATTTTAATTGTTTTAGGCGAAAATACCAAAAATGCAAGGAAGGAATACAATTATGTGGTAAGTTTTTTCCGATTAATTAGGTTTTAATTCGTTGCCAATGCTAAAATATTTAAAATATGAAGATATAAGATAATTAAATTGCGATATAAAATCATTTCTTTAAATTAAATTTAAGTATTGTCAAACAGCGCCATCTTACGACAAAAATATTCTAACCTAAAAACTCAAATTAACCCAAAGAAATTGTACAATTTCTTTGAATTAACCCATCTTTGTCTGGTACATTGTTGTAAATAATTAAATTTATTTAATGAACAAGTAGATTTTAATTTCATTTTAATTGTTTTAGGCGAAAATACTAAAAATGCAAGGAAGGAATACAATTATGTGGTAAGTTTTTCCGATTAATTAGGTTTTAATTCGTTGCCAATTTTAAAATATTAAGGTGTAAGATAATTAAACTGCGATATAAAATCGTTTCTTTAAATTTAAGCAATGTCAAACAGCGCCATCTTACGAGAGATCCATTCTAACCTAAAAACTCAAATTAACCCAAAGAAATTGTACAATTTCTTTGAATTAATTTATCTTGGTCCGGTACATTGTTGTACAACAACTTGTTGTAAATAGAGATTCATAAATGTTTGTTGATTTTATAAAATTAGATTTATATTATTAAATTAGATTTTAATTTTATTTTAATTGTTTTAGGCGAAAATACCAAAAAATGCAAGGAAGGAATACAATTATGTGGTAAGTTTTTTTCGATTAATTAGGTTTTAATTCGTTGCCAATACTAAAATATTTAAAATATTAAGGTATAAGATAATTAAACTTCGATATAAAATCATTTCTTTAAAGTTAAGCCACAGTATATATAACAGACAGTACTCTCACTCGGTTTGGCGGGAAGATATGCGCAGCCCTCATTACGCAGGCGAGCGGCCATTACGCTGGTTTAAATCTTGCTAATCGCCAGTGTGTCTGTGAGGTTTGTTTTTGTGCAGAGCCGTAACGACAAGTGTAAAGATTAAAATAAAATATCAAATATTATAAATAATGACGTTATTACTTATATAATATATAACTCAATAACTAATGTTTTTATCAGTTCAGAAATTTAATTGCGAATAACTTTTTTAATTTAATATTTTCGACGTTTTAAATATTTTTAATGCGGACCTGTTGTGTTTTATGCCAGAATAATGGCTTCGAGGTCATTGAAAATCAATTCGCCACATCAAACGTGCCGCCACTGAGTGAGAGTACTGTCTGTTATATATACTGTGGTTAAGCATTGTCAAATAGCGCCATCTTACGAGAAAAGCATTCTAACCTAAAAACTCAAATTAACTCAAAGAAATTGTATAATTTCTTTGAATTAATCCATCTTGGCTCGGTACATTGTTGTACAACAACTTGTAGTAAATACAGATTTATAAATGTTTCTTGATTCTTCTCTCTTGCACTTGGAAATGATAAATGAAATGTTTGTGATGAAGGAAGTAGATGCAGAATTAGCATCATCCATTGCCAAATATTTCATAACTGAAGCCTTTCATAGTTGGAAATTAGTACATGTATATGTACAATGAGATAGGTCAAGTAGAACATTCATTGCTAGAGTTGGCGTTGTTCTTATCGCACCAGAGAGTGCCAATTTGGCTATTCATTGAATTTTTGATTGTGATATACAACATATCCATCTAATATCTACCAGTCACTATTTGTCTGTAACATTTTTCGTTTGTCTAAACTAAAATAGAAAAGTTGTTGGTGCATAAAATCACTGTCTGGGCAAAGATGGGTTAATCAAAAGGTTATTTTAATAAAAACATTAATAATTGATTACGTTTTTATTCAACTCAAAAGTAGCTGTTACAAACAATCCAAATCATTACAGTTTACATCAATTACATCAAAAATATGGCAAGTCTATATAATTTTCATGGTATCACACTCGTAAACTGTTTGTGAAAAATCAAAATTTTCGTATACAAAAATCTAAATCTAGCTTAATTCAACAGTAAATATCATTAAAATCGATTAACGCTTTGGTTTCAACTCTAATTAGGAACTAAAATAAGTCTCGTAAACGCCTAAAAAGAAAAAAAATTGGTTTATACAAATAAAAAATAAATAAAAACTCACTTTTAGTTTTAGAGTTGAATCTCTCTTTGGATACGTCCCAAATTACTGGGACCTTTACAATATTCTAATCCGTGACAAACGGAAGTTACGTCCGTTTGATAAAATGCACTTCTCACCAACGTAACTGCATGTTTATTTGCAATTTGGAGACACTAAAAAGATTAAATTATAAATTATAATTGAATTTTAAGTTAGAATAAGTGTTTTACTTCGGGCTTATATGGATCCTCAAGTAATTCACAAGCGTCCTCAACTTTTTCCATTCCGTTTAACATCCCGTTTACTACATTTATATAGAGAGCTTCACACGTTGCGCAAGTTCTTATTTCTGTTAAAACTTTATCGTTATCGGCGCATAAAAATGTTAACGAACAAACTTCTGCCGGATTGGTAGCTTGAATTAACAGTGTAGCAATTATATCACCATACTTTTTAACGAAATCGTAACATGATTTCTTTTCCGATCTAGGTAAAGTATTGCAAATTTTCCTAAGTCCATTTTCTACTCCTTCCTAAATTTATTTTAATAACATTAATTTAAGAAAAATTTAAGAATCATCATGTGGCTTAAAAATCGACCATGCATTTTCTTATTAAACCGGTTAACACCTAACCTACAAATTGTTTATTTTATAGCCACGCACAAAATCAATCTGATAAACTTAGATATTTTCACTAAACTAGGTGAGATTACAACGTATATTTCTGGATGAAACCCTTGTTTTTCTTAGATTTTCGATGCATAACGACTGACTACCTGTCGTTAGATAGACTGTGTGTCAATAGACTCTGTGTTAATACTAGAATTAACACTAGACCGAAAACTAGAAACATTCGGATTTAGTCGCACGTTTCTCAAGACGGCTAAAACCGAATGATTCTAGTTCTAGGTCTTGTGTTAGTTCTAGTGATAGTGCTAATGTAAAACTAGAAGTAACACTAGACCTAGAACTAGAAATGCTTTAACTTACTCTAAGTCCACTAGTGTCGGAGCAGTTGGTATTGGACTCAGATTCCTCTTACCCATTCTGGATATAGTTATTACTCCCCTAAACTGATATTTTCAACTGATCTTTTGAACAGTCTATATTTCCGCTAATCTGGCGAATCGCCCATGTTACCCAACCCATTTCTATTCTATCAACGTTGTCAAAAGCTATTGAACGTTTAGCTTATTTATAAATTCAGAAGTATCTTGAGGAGTTTAATCTGATTAACAAGTTCCAGTCAGGTTTTCGTGAAGGGCATGGTACTACTACAGCACTGATTAAGATCACCGATGATATTAGATCTGCTTGTGATAAGCGTTGTGTTACCTTGCCCTCCTGTTGACTAGGCTTTCTGCTATTGGTTTTACCTCTTCTTGTGTATCTTGGTATCTTAGTGCTACCTTTCTTATCGGTTTTTACGTGTACGCGTGGAATCTGTACTCTCTTCTCCTGTTGACATCAAATATGGAGTTCCCCGGCGTAGTATGCTGGGTCCTTTGCTCTTCTCAATTTTCATAAATAGTATTAGTGATGGTATCTCGTATAAGTATCATTTGTATGCAAATGACCTTCAACTTTATATTTCGTCAACTGTTAACAACCTCCCAGATGCTTTGTTGCATCTTAACAACGAACTCTCTAGTGTACTTGACTGGTCTAGACGTCATGAACTTAACCTGTAAATCCAGGTAAAACGCAAGCCATTACATTTGGCACTCGCCCCTTGCTGGCACAATTTAATTCCTTAACAACCCTTCAACTAAGGCTTGGCGACACCATTATTCCGTTTTCTAATACGGTCAAAAACCTTGGTATGTCACTTTTTAGCATCACATGAGTTACCCACTCGATCAATGTCGGACTCTACACTCATGTTTCCAGTCTATAGTACTAAAATCTACCACAAGTCTTTTACAGTGCAGTCGATTGCGTTGTGGAACGATTTGCCTGCCGTTGTTTGCAATGCAGCTAGTTTAATAAGTTTTAAAAATGCCTTGAGGCGCCATCTGCTATCTCTTCATCTATCTTCTTCTTGACCTATACGTGTTTGTTTCCTTCTCTAGTCTATCTTTCATCTATCTTTCGCTGCACTCTTTTGTGTCTATTTCCTTCCTTGCAATAACTGACTGTCAATTCGTTACATAATAGAAATATGCTTATTCGCTCAGTTATTTATTTAAAATTACATAATATATACACTATTACCAGTTGGGTCTCTTGGAAGATATCGCTTATTGCGATAAATTGATCCGTTTGTCTTGATGTCTATATTTGTTATGAATGTATATATTTATGTAAATATTTGTTTTGAGGCAATTAACATTATTAGTATTAGTATTTTGGCAGCAGTATATAGTCTGCTGAAAGCATTAAATGTTTTTGTCAACAATATCTAGCTTTCTCCAAGCAATTAGTAGTCTTTCTAACAATATTTAGCATTCTGAAAGTAGTTAAATTGTCTTCTGAACACAGTGTCTTGTCTTTCCAAGCAGCAAATAGCTTCTTCCAGCAGTATTTAGTCTTCTCAAAGCAAGTTGTAATCTTTTCTAGTAGTATATAACGCTCTGAAAGTAGTAAGTAGTCTTATGGAAGCAGTATCTCGTCTTTCCAATCAGTTTGTAGTTGTTTGTTAGCACTATCTAGTCTTTTCTAAGCAGATTGTAATCTTTTCCACCAGTATCTAGCATTTTGGAAGCAGTAGGTACCTTTTTTGGAGAGCATATCTCTTTTCCAAACAATTATTAAAGTCTTTGAAAGCAATAAGTGGTCTTGGAAGCAGTATTCCGCTTGTCCAAGTAGGTCAAAACCTTTAACAGCAGTGTTTAGCGTTCTGGAAGCAATAGGTATTATTTTGAAAACAGTATCTAGTCTTTTCCAAGTAAGTTGTCGTCTTTTTCTGCACTATCTAATATTTTAGAAGCAGTAAGTAACTTTTTGAAATAGTATTTCCTCTTTCCAAGCAGTGTTTACTCTTTTACTAGCAGTATTTAATCTTCTGATAGCAATAATTAGTCTTTTGCCAACAGTATCTAGTATTCAGCAACTAATAAGTTAATTGGTCAATGACGTCACGTCAAAACTTTAAAGTGATTTTTCGGTAAGTTTTACATTTTTCCCCACTTTCCCGTCGATTAAAAAAAATTGTCGATTTTTAAGCGACATAATGATTCTTGAATTATACCTTAATTTATATAAAAGTTAAAAAAATGTTGTGTACCTTTGTAATTGGCCCAATTATATATTTCTCAATTTGAGTCATTAACAGTTTGCATAAAACGCATTGCGGTGATTTTAAATTTTGAACTAAAACAAAAATTAGAATTAAAATTAAATTGTTTTAAATATTATTTTTTACCTTCTGGTTTAGGTTCTATTGGTTGTACTTCGACGTTTCGACCTATAATCAAATAATGTTAAGGTTAGAATTTAGCTGTCACTTAAACCCGAAATTAAGCGCCATCTGTTGTTTTTATTATACAACCTCAAATTTGAAAAAAAATACCACACTAAATTATTAAGTTTTTTTAATTAAGGGTTATTTACATGCAAGTTAAAATCTAAACACACTTCTAATATGGTTAATAAATATTAATTTGGGTTAATTTAATAATAATTAATAATAATTCGCACCATTTTTATCGCAAAGACCAATATATTCGCAAATTTCATCTGGTTTTAAAGTACCAATTAATAACTGTATAACCAAATCTGCGTAAGTATTTACAAATTTTTTGCATTCACCACGAACGGATTTTGGTAAATCATCGCATAATTTCAAAACGGCATCTTCAATTTCTTGTTCTGTCGTTTTATTTTGAAGTAAATTTTGCAATTTGGTCATTGCAAATTCGCAAATAACACATTGAGGTTTATTTTCAACTTGTTTCGCTTCAACGTAAGAAACTCCGTTTTTGGTATGATCGGGAATTTCGTTGGTTACTTAAAAAAAAATTAATATATTTTAATACTTTTGAGGTTAAAAAAACTTACGTATTTCAACATCTTCGACATGTATGGGGGTTATTGGTTTATCAGGAGCTTTTTCGTTGCATAATTTTAGAGCGACGCAAATATTTTGTGGTTTTAAATCGTCGATTAATAAATTTATCAACGTTCTGCTGTAAGTTGTAACAAAATCTTGACACTCGAGTTTAATTTTTCCATTAAAATGGCTACAAAGTTTGTTTAAAGCGTTTTCTATGGATTCCTGTTGACATAAGGAAACAAAAAGATTTTTTATTTTTATAAAATGGTATAAAAATACAAAATATTGTTGAAAAATTGTTTAGTTAAAAACAAACCTCCGTTTTATCGTCTTTAATCATTTCTTCCAATTTGGTTACTGCGAATAAACACATGGGACATTTGGGTTGATCCCCGCCGACAATTTCTTTGAATGTTTCGACGTCTTTTACATCTTGAGGTGCGGGACAAACTCGAATTAATGGGCAAATTATTGAGGGGTCAAATTCTTGGGCTAATAATGAACAAATTGCATCTCCATAAGTATCCACGAAAGCCAAACAAGTTGCATTGATAGAAGCTGGTAGTTTATCACATACTTTTGAAACAATTCTTTTTATTTCACTCTAAAAAAAAATAAATTAATAAATAAAAGTCATTTTTAACCCAAAATATTTACCTCAGATGATGGTTCAGTAATGGCTTCTTGCAAATAATGTAATAGATATTCACAAAAAACGCATGCTTGTTGATTATAAACCTCGTTTGGTGCTCCAAAAGGTGGGAAAACTCTTTCAATTGGTAATTGCATCATTTCGGGTTTTTCCAAGTTAACTTTTCCAACTTTTTTACCAGCTAAAGCGATGGCTTTGTTTGCTGATTGTACTGGAAGTAAAGGTCTAATTGGGACATCTTCATAATCGTCCAAATTTGTTGGGCAAATTCCAATTAAAGCGCAAGCTGCGGTGCCATTTAGATTCTCAACTAATGTTTGATAAATAATTGGATAGTACTCGTCAACTAAGTTTAAACATTCGTCAGTGAACTGTCCAGTTTGTTTACATAAACCTACTAATACGCGTTTAAATTCTTCTTCGGTGGTGTTTGCAACTAATAAATCGCGTAAATGGGTTACTAATTGTTGGCAAAGTTCGCAAGGAAGGTCATCTTTTTCACTAAAATTTAATTTTATTAAGTAATATATATGTTGAGGTTTTGTTTGATTTTTATACCCAAATTTAACAACACCAACGTTTGAGGTTGTTGTTATTTCAACGTGGCGATGAAATTGAGCTGAACATTCTCCAGCTAATAAACAAACATCAGTTGGGTTTAAATTATTTTCAAGATGTTCATAAATTTCTTGGAAGTATGTTACAACAATGTTGCTACAACCATCTGATAAACTTCCCATGTGGCCACAAATCTTTAAATTAATAAATTAACCAACATTTATTGTTTCATTATGTAATTTTACCCTTAAAAATGCTTGCAACACTTCATCTTTACTCATTTTATCAAATTTCCTTTCCATAATATCAACAACAGTATGACATCCATCACAAGGATCAATCTTTTTCACGCTTCGTTTTAAACTACTTTCGTAATCCTCGATTAATTTATCATATCGCGCGTTATTACAAAGCCCAGCAACCGAACAAACCACCTGTGGGTTCATTTGCGAAGCCAAAGTATCAACAAGTTCTGGTATAAAATCATCAACTAATGCACAACATTCCTTTTTAATCAATTTTACCGGAATTAATTTGCAACTTCCTTCAAAAACTTCTTTAATTTCTTCCTATAATATTACAATTTCATCAAAATATTGATTCCTTTTCAAAATAAAACTTACTTCAGTTTCATTGCTAAGTAATTGATCTCGAGCCTGTTTAACCATATCCAAACAAATTTGACAAACCGAATCTTTGTCTTGTTGAACCGTTTGATGTTGCCATACAGTTTGAATGCAATGGGGCACCGCGTGACATCCTGAAGCAGCTCTAATTTATAAAATTAAAAATTTGAGGTTAGAATTTTAAATTTGACATTTTATTAGCGCCATCTTTTGAGAAAAGTTTGAATAAAATAATGTAATCCGTCAAATTTATTAAAATTCATTCTTATTTGAACAAAAATCATTTAAAAGTGATTTATTTTATTTTTCATTAATGATTCGTTGATATAAATAACTAAAATCCATATTTTATTGACCCCCAACATAACCTTTGAACTTGTTAACTTTAAACATCCGATGATAAAATGTTGATAACTAATTTGTTTTTTTGGGCCAAAATGATTTTTCATTATTGTTTATTTACAAAAAAAACCTTCATTTACTTAAATACATGAATCACGCCACAATGAATCATATTTTGCGATTAAAAACTATTATTTACTTACGTTAGATTAGAACACCAATAAGATGGGCCCCAAGTGCATTGTTTAGATCCTAATAAATGTGATGGGGTCGCCTGAACTGTAATAAATAATAACACTAAGTATTAAATTACCGTTTTAATAATAAAATGATTCTTAATAACTTGTAAAATGTCAAAGTTACTAAGCGAATATAATTCGATTATCGTTTCACGGAATAGAGATGAAAATTGAGTAACAAAGAACTTTGTTAGGAATGCGTTAAGCAATTTTTAACAAATACTTACCGGCGTAAATCGCAAAAACAAGAAGGATAAGGTGTTTCATCGTAACGAATGAAACCCTGATATCTTTTAAAGTTGTTCCAAAGAATTGGACGAAGTTCACCTTGAAATAAATAAATCAATCGTCACCGTCGAGAAAAACTCTAAAACGTTGCGCACTTTTGCGTTTTAAAACAACAACTAAGAAATTGGTTTCTGTTTGGTAAACGTCCAATTTGACGTATATAATACGCGCATGCGTCGAAGAAAGATTTATTATTTCTTTGCTTCGCTTATTTTATCATTTCTTATCGTGTTATTTTAGTATATTTGCAAAATTAGTAATTTCGGTTAATCATATTGTTTATGATTTAGTCATTCTATTTTTCTTAAAATTTTTTTTTATTAAAATTTTGCAATAATCTTTTTTAAAAAGAAAAAATGAGAATATACAATAAATTTAATGGTAAAGAAACGTTTTAAAGTATCGTTTTTTAAAATTGTTAATTATAATTAATTAATTTTTAATTTAAATTCAAAAAAATTAAAAATAATTTAGCGCCATCTTTTGACATAATCTCTAATGGTGTATCTGTTAATTTGAGGAGTATTTTTGACAAAGTTTGTATATAAGCTAAATAATATAATATCAATAATAATAAAATAATATATATTATAATATTATATACATATTGTGATAATATAACCAAGCCATGTCATTCATTTTTTTTTTTAATTTTGCATAATCCTATTGATAGTATGAATAATAATTATAGAAATTTGGTTTTGTACCAATAAAATGTTGTAAATATGTTAGAATTCAGTATGTATTGTTGACCATTTACGTTTTTTATTGTATTTAATCCATGTAAAGTCAATTTGACAGTAACATAACCTCAAATTTTATTTTTCATTAATTTCTAATTGTAATTCATGTTTGTTTCGTTGAAACTATTGAAAAAGATAATCTTAGCATGTCAAGAACGAAAACTATCCATTATATGGGAGTTTCGGTGAAGAATTAGACGAAAATCCGTAGATTAAATAAAATAATTGAATGTATTTTTGAAGCTGGCCGTTGAAATCGAAAAGAAAATGTTCCTAAATCAGCACAAACAAAGTTAATGCAACAAAACTACAATATTTCATACATAAATATTATTAATATAGAAAATTCAATAATTTTTGATAAAATTTATTTGGTGACATTTGACATTTCAAAGTTGGCTATACCGGAGAAATTTAAATTACGAATTTCAAGTTGAAGAATTTAACCAATCAGAAGACGTTATTTAAAACGTTTAGCATTAAACAAAGGAAACTGGTAGATTTTAGTGTGATTTTGAACGTGATGAGGAGTGCACGCTAATTTTGTCCACGATCATTTAAAAAAAACCAAAACAAAAGTTAGTTCAATCACCATTGTGACATAACCTCAAAAATAGCAAACTTATTATTTAATAAGTTAAATAAGAAGATTATTTGAGTTAAAGTTATTCACCTTTAATAATAAACAAGAAAATTAACTGGTTCCTGATCCAATTAATACCATTCTGAAGAATTATTCCAATCCAATGAAGAATCTTCTTACCGATTCCTTTTGAAGAATCCAAGTTTCCTTATCCGACAACTTCAATAATCTACAACATTAAGCTAAGTTATAATTTTCAATTTCATTATTATTCGTTGCTTTTATTTTAATATTCATTTCAAATTTCATTTACCTTAAATACGATTAATTTGAGTTATTATTGGTTATTATTTTGTTTGGTTATGTTATTACAATTTCTTTATGTGTAATTCAGTTATAAAACTGGTTAATTAATTTACTTCGTATTAACCAAAAGTTAAAAAATATTATTAATAATTATTTCACTGAGAGTTTTGTTACAACTTATTTATTATTGTACTCGTTTACTCAAGCGTTGAACACACAAAGATTATCAAACTCCCTATAAACGCTGTTGTTATGAACGTATCCCCCCGCAAAGGCCTTGCTGTGACGTCATTGGAAGAATTGACATTTCTATGTTTTTATTTATACAGTGTATTTCACTCAAGAAGCAATACACAAAAATATAAAGATATTAAAAAAGAATGCGAGATAATCGTAAAGAATTCGAATTGTTTTAAAATTAATAAAAATTAGGTTAGAATTGATAAAAAAAATCGAAATCAAATTTTATTATTTTAAGGTTATCTAACTTGACTCGGTTACCATGGTGATTAAGATCCAAATATTGCAGTTGCTTGTCAAAATTGAGGTTGAATTTAAGATTTTTTAATGAAAAACACATAATTAATTGGATTTAAAGGTTGTATTTAATTCAAAATGGGTAAATGGATGAAATTATAAGCAAGGTAAGTGGATTATACCAAAAAAAATATTTTTATATGAATTAAAATGCACAAGAATTTAGGGTTAAATAACAATTAAAACTAGAACTAACACTAGACCTAGAAAGTTTTAGGTTTAGCCGGGCGTCTTAGAGGAATGTTTATAGCTAAAAAAATATGGGGCGTTCAACAAATGACAATGTATTTGACAGCATCTGAAGAGTAATCCAAAATAACTCGAAAACGAAAAACGCTAGGTACCATTAACTTTTCTCAAAGTCAACCTTTTTTTCTACTTACAATTAAACGGTGTAATAAAAACTAGGAGGTAGACTGGAAGTGGCGGTCATCTTGAAAATATTTTAGATCGAAAGTTCCGAATGAACAACCCATGCTACCAAAATTTCAAACCTTTACTAATAGTGGAACCTGAAAAAGTTCTAACAAACCAGTTACATGACATTTTAAATCTGAAGTTAGTTATCATATAATAGACAAATGGACAACTTCATGGTGTTCTTTCATGATGTATTCTTTATTAAAAAAACCTTTAAAATGAGTTCAAACATGATGCATTTATCTCGAAAAGAACAAAGTAGTAATAAAAAATATTAAAATTGGCAACATTGAAATTAGCAACATAATCTTTAAATATTAATACCAACCTTAATTTTTCATTTTTTTATTGTATTTTTGTTTTTGTGATAAATTTTAAGACATTTTATAAAAATTATGAATTTGTCAAAATGACATTGACATGTCAAACCGGAAATTTCTTATATCTCGACTATTTTGGAATTAAACGTGTCATGTTTCGGCTCATTTTAAAGGATTTTTCACGACAATTACAAATATGTCAAAATTGACTTTGACATTTCTAACTGGAAGTTGACCATAACTTCATTAATATTGAAGATAAATATGTCGTGTTTGTACTTATTTTAAAGGATTTTTAATGAAGATTACAAATATGTTAAAATTGAGGTTGCATTTTAAATATGAAGTTAGTTTATCATATAATAGACAAATGGACAACTTCATGGTGTTCTTTTAAGATGTATTCTTTATTAAAAAAAACATTAAAATGAGTCCAAACATGATGTTGCTAGATATCACTATGTTGTATATTTTTATTGCACTAACACTAGACCTAGAACTAGAAAAATTCGGGTTTAGCCGTGCGTCTAATTTGAACTGCAGCAAACTTCTCGCTATATCTAAAGCAGCAAATGTTACAAAAATACTTCTGCCGTCTCTTATTTCATTACAATACTAATTTTTCACGAGTTTTTTGCAAATTTCGGGTTTAGCAAAGTTATTGATCAGTTTAAATTGAGCTGCAACAGATTCCTCATCATGTTTGAAATGGAAATATTGCTAAAAAATCTTTCTGGCATTTCTTACTTCATGACAAAATCAGTTTTTCATAATTTTTTGCAAATTTTGTACATTCCTCTTTGCTTATAGTAGCAAATATCCAAAGAAAACTATGTTTGTCATTTCCTATTTCTTTGGAAACCCAGAATTTCTTTAATTTTTAATTTTTTTTTAACCTCCATCATATACCTGGTTATCTATAGCAACAAATATAGAAAGACAACTTTTGCCAGTTCCTACTTTTTTTACAAATTTATTTTCCTTCCATTTTTGCAAGTTTCAATATGAGCAGAATTTTCTATGAACTCTACCTTCAATAGTAATTTAGCGTTAGATTGTTGTATATTTTTATTAAACTAAAAGTTGGTCAGTATTATTGGTCCAATATTAAAATTTTCTAATATTTCGTATTTTGTATACTGTACTTATTTTTTAAATGGGATAAAATCTTTAAAAATGTTTAAGGTTGTATTTGACATTTTGAATGATAAAAGATAAAAAATCTACAATAAACGTTTATTGTCTTAACTAGAAAAAACAAACATATTTATATATATTTATATAATTTTTTGTCAACTAAAAGAATAGAAAATTAATAATATTAAAAAAAAAATTATCAAGAAAACAACAAAGAAAAGAAAAAGGAATATTTGGTATTTATCTTACAGCAATAAGTGATGTTAATTATTAATAAAGAAGAATAACGTTTTTTATGTACTTATACATATAAAAAAATCAAAAACTATTTATGTATATACAGGTGTCTCTAAATATACAACACTGTTATAGACTAGACGAACAATAATTAATTCGTCATCGTTATTTCCATAATTTACAAAAAAAATAGTCAAAAAAACAAAAACATTTAACTTAATTAATTAATTAAACAAGACAAAAATTAATAAACAAAATCTTCCTACTTCTTTTTCCTGGAAAAAAACATATCCTTCCATCGGGGTGATTTTTGATCGTTAACTTGCATTGTTGACGGTCTTGGCATACTTCTATCTTTCCAATCCATTTTGGGTGAACCATCTCGCAACGCGTTATTTCCTAAAAAAAGAATTAATGAGAATTAAAAAAAAAATAAAGGCAGTTTAAACAATAAGAATCATGCAATTACAATGTTTGTAGTAAAAGAGAAAAAAGAGGTTTTATACAAAGCTGGATTAAAAATAAATAGGAAATGGTGTTTTTCATGCAAATGTTAGTCAATTCCCAAAAAAATTCGTTTCCTTTTTATGACTAACCGTAACTTTCGTTGCTTCCATCAACAATCGTACTGTGTCTTCTTATTGCGTGATTATTCGGCGGTTGTGTCATTGGTAAAGGTGGTGGACTGTCTCCTAATAGGTTATTTTAATAGTTAAAAAATTTAATTTGTTAAAAAATTAGTATCAACTTTTTAACAGTTAAGATGACGTTTGATTCAAAATAATTTTTTACCTGTAAAAGTATGTCTTTGTCCATGACTAGCTGCTGCGTTTCCATTAATACCGGGATCATATCTCAAAACGACCGAATCAGGTACATCCGGACTTGAAGTCCTACTCGATTGCGAACTAACTTCTTCGTGTTGATCCTATTTAAAAAATTAATTATTTACGATTCTTCTTAATAAAGAATTTTGTTACCTTTGGTATAAAATTTAATGATACAAGTTGTTGACTCGGTGGTAATCTTGCTTTAAATGAAATTTTGCTCACCCAATCGGTCATTTCTTCTGGTCGCGTGCAAGAAAATAAATATTCAGATTGATCTATCGTGATCAATCTGAACGTGTATCGGCGTTTTGTGTAATCAGTCGCGATGGAACATGTCGAATTATGAAGTCCGATCGGAGAACATAAAGCTTTGCTTGCGGCGAAATCATCTTTATTTTTAAAGAAACATAATAATTGTCCGCATAAAACGCTGTAACAGATTTTCCATTGACGATTCGGCGCTTTTTTACCCCCTGATATTAAAACTTGTTTTCGTTCGAGGAATGATTCTATTTCAACTGGTGGTAAATCATTTTCTACAAAAAAAAATTTTTTTTTAATTAATTTATCTAATTCACCTAATTATGAAAATTAAATTTTACATGTCTTTCTGACGTTATGTAACGTCACTTTTTTTATAACTAGGGATGTAATGGTTTCATTATCTAACTACAAATTGATAAATTGACAATCTGTCACTAATAGAATAAGTCAAGTTTTGAACAAAAATTGCTTTTACCAATTCCATTATGAAATAGTACCCAAATGATTCTAGTTCTAGGTCTAATGTTAGTTCTAGTTTTAGTTTAATGAAAATATACAACATAGTAATATCTTATTCTAACTAGCGTTACCTATCACTGCCACTAGAACTAAGTATCTAACTATTCTAGGTCTTGTGTTAGTTCTAGTGATAGTGCTAGTGTAAAACTAGAACTAACATTAGAGCTAGAACTAAAAACATTCAAGGTTAACGTTTTTTATTCTACCTTTTTTTTTTGAGATAAATGCATCATGTTTGGACTCATTTTAAAGGTTTTTTTAATAAAAAATGCATCATGAAAGAACACCATGAAGTTGTCCATTTGTCTATTATATGTAACTAACTTCAAGTGTAAAATATCAACCTCAATTTTGACATATTTGTAATCTTCATTAAAAATCCTTTAAAGGGAGTATAAACACGACATATTTATCTTCAATATTAATGAAGTTATGGTTAACTTCCGGTTAGAAATGTCAACGTCAATTTTGACATATTTGTAATCGTCGTGCAAAATCCTTTAAAATGAACCCAAACATGATACGTTTAATTCCAACATTACTCGAGATATAAGCAATTTCCGGTTTCAAATGTCAACGTCATTTTGACATTCTTAATTTTACTAAATTGTCTAAAAATTTATCACAAAAACAAAAATATAATAAAAAAAATCAAAAATTAAGGTTGGTATTAATATTTAAAAATTAAATTGCTAACTTCATTGTTGCTAACTTCGGGTGTAATTTTTTTTTTATTCTAACTTTTTTGTTTTTTGAGATAAATGCATCATGTTTGGACTCATTTTAAAGGTTTTTGTCATTTTAAAATTGTCCATTTGTCTATTATATGATAACTAACTTCAGGTGTAAAATGTCAACCTCAATTTTGACACATTTATAATCTCCATTAAAAATCCTTTAAAGGGAGTATAAACATGACATGTTTATCTTCAATATTAATGAAGTTATGGTTAACTTCCGGTTAGAAATGTCAACGTCAATTTTGACGTATTTGTAATCGTCGTGCAAAATCCTTTAAAATGAACCCAAACATGATACGTTTAATTCCAATATTACTCGAGACATAAGCAATTTCCGGTTTCAAATGTCAACGTCATTTTGACATATTCTTAATTTTACTAAATTGTCTAAAAATTTATCACAAAAACAAAAATATAATAAAAAAAATCAAAAATTAAGGTTGGTATCAATATTTAAAAATTAAATATTACTTCATTGTTGCTAACTTCGGGTGTAATTTTTTTTTGTTCTAACGTTATCTTTTATAATTCGCGTTTTTATCCTTTTTTTTAACAAATATAAAATAAATTGTGACAAATAGGAAAATAAGTATGTAGCCATTCATTTTAGAAATTTTAAGTTGGTATTAAAAATTTCACCAAAATTCTGAATACGTCATTTCGAAAATTTAAACGTCATTCTTGTTTATTGTTAAAATGTAATTTTGAAGGTTTTTGGCGTCATTTTTAAATTCAAATTCTTTTTTAGATTTAAAAATCCCATTTTAACTTGGATCTTCCGATAACGAGAGGTGCATTATTTGAAAATGACAAATTTGCAATGAAAGACATTTTAACAATAAATGCCATTGTGACGTTTTCATTTATTTTTAAATTTTAGGTTGGTATTAAAAATTTCACCAAGATCCTGAATACGTCATTTCGAAAACGTAAACGTCATATTTGTTTAAAGTTAAAATGTAATTTTCAAGTTTTTCGCGTTATTTTCAAAGTCATTTCTAGATTTCAAAATCCCATTTTAACTTGGATCTTGAGATCACGAGGCGCAAAATTTATTTTATTTTTGTTAAAAAAAAAGAGATAAAAACGCGAATTACAAAAAATAGCACTCATTTATTCAAATTGTCACATTGACAACTAGAAAAATTAATGAACCAATGTCACCAACTTGAATTGGTTCCATAAAATGTTACTAAAATCTCATTACAGCATCGGATGCTGCTAGGAGTCTCATTACAGCACCCGTTTGAGTAGTTATTTTACTTAATTCCATTATGAAAATTAAATTTCTGGCGTTACGTAACGTCACTTTTTTTTAAATCTAGTGATGTAATGATTTAATTATCTAACCACAAATTGATAAAATGACATCTGTCACTAATAGAATAAGTCAAGTTTTGAACAAAAATTGCTTTTTCATAACTAATAATTATTAATTTAATTTAATTTTTTTACCATTTCTTTGTCTCAATGATCCTCTTCGTCTTGTGGTAAAACTAGGAGTTCTTTTAACCGGTTTCGACCCAGTAGCAGCCTTCATACTCTCCGCCCTTTTAATATTCGCCTCGGAACCGCGTCTACGATCACCAAAAATATGCGCAACCGAATTCGATTTGGTAATATTCGTCGGCCCTTCCGGTCGTTGTTCTTTTTGCGCGTTATCGTCGACTTTTTCCTGCCACAATTCGGGTTTTCGCTCCAATTCGTACCGTTTTTTATGCGCGGCTCTTCTTAGCTGTTCCAAACGTTCGTTTTCTTGTTGCCTTTCGTAAGCTTCTTTTTCTTTTTGTTTCATAAATTCCTCCTCGATTTTCGTGATACGCTTCAAAGCGTTAAATTTGTCTTCTTGCGCTGCGATCGTTGATTCGAAATCTTCGTGTTTTCGAATTAATTCTTCGACTTGCGGGATTGATTCGCCTACTTTTGGGTCTCTTAATGTTCCTTCGCGTACTGATAACCAACTGTCCAATAGATTAGCGTCCCTTTTAAACATTTGGAGGTCGTAATTCTTTTGGTAGATGTCCATGCGATTCGTCCATGTTAATTTTAGGTAGTTTATGCGGTGGTCTAGTGTTGTTATTTTTTCGTAAATTTCTGGGGCCATGAAATGTTTTTGTTCGATTAATTTGTTTCCGGTTTCCATGAAATTGATTAAGGCGCCATCTCTTGAATCGATTTCTACTTTGTATTCTTGGTGACGCGCGATTAATCCTTCGGCGGCGGAGACGTCTTGTGGCAGTTCTGGGGCTGTTATTTTAGCTAGCATTTCGTTGATCCACGCTAAAAATTCTTGGTGTTGGTCGAAATAAGCTTGTAATTGTTCGGCTTGTTGTAAATTGTCTTTTCGCCGATTTGATTTCGTTTGCAAATCTTCCCAAGCGTTGAACGCATCATCGCGTTTAACAGCAATATGATCTTCAGCATCAGGAAATTGTTCTATTAATTTATTTGATTCTTGATCAATCGCGTCGATTTGCTCTTTAACGGCTTTTAATTCGCTTTCAAAGGTGTTGTGTTTGCGGACCATGGCTTGGATACCTTCTAAGTCTTGCGCGTAAACATCCATGTTTAAATTTGATTCTTTTTCTTGAATCCAACCGATTGTTTCATCGGCTGTTCGATCGAAAACGTGAACTTGTCGAGCACCTATTAAAGCTTCTTTCCTGGCCGTTGCTAATTCCAAAACATCGTTCCACATGTCTTGTAATTCTCGGACTTTAGTTTCGATTTTATCTTTATGCCCGTTTTCTTTAATCAATTTATTCCCGTGTTCGATACAATTCTCAATTCGACTTGAACTGTTTTGTAGGCTCGAATAAACATTTTCGAATTGTTGCGTTAATAACTCAACGTGCTCAACGTCCGTGCCATATTCTTCCGAGCTATATTTAGTCTGTTGATCCATTAACCACTCGATAACTTCATTACATTCGCGTAAAAATGCGAAATATGATAGGGCTTCGGAAAGCTTAGTTTCGCGTTCAAATAAGAGTTGTTCGATTTCGTTGAATTCGGTTTCAATCTTTTCTTGTTGTTCGATTATGTTTTTCGCATCGAAATGATTTCGATCGAGTAAACTTTTCGACATCGATGATAACCGATTAATGTTTGGTTTATAAGCGTCGATTTCGAGGCTGAGGGCTTCGAGCTTGCGTTGAAGTGTTTGCGTTGAGTCTTCATCCCGACCAACTTCGGATGATGATAATAACGGGCGTTTATCGTTGCACCAAATTTCAGCTTCTGAAGCTTCGGCGTAATACTAAAAAAATTAAAAAAAATAAAATTGTAAAGATGTGTAATATGCAACTAGAATTGCAAGTTCACAGTAATCGGAAAGAGGGCGCAGGTGGATGACCCGTATTCGAGCCAAAATGGCGGTTTGACAGCTTGTCAGTACATGTCACCACTTATTTACAACAATAATGCCTTTGGAGTTGCAAAAATATCAGTAAGAAGGGCTTTCGACTCTTCAGAGTACCACGAAAAAAAAAAAGAAGAAAATTTGGTGTTATTTTATCAACAAAACAACATAGTTTTAAATTTCCCGCTTGACTTTGAGCCAAAATGGCGGCAAGATGTTTACTTTTTGAAGCTGATCTCAAGAAACAATTTTGGGCAGAAGCAGTAAGTACAGCGATTTATCTCAGAAATAGATCAACAGCTAATGGGTTAGGTGATAAGACACCATTTGAGATGTGGTTCCAAAGGAGCACAGATGAAATTAATCTCAGAATTTGTTAGTGGACGTTCCCAAAACTAAGAGAACAAAATGGGATAAAAAGACAAAAAAGATGATTTTGGTAGGGTATGGGGAAAACACAAAGGGATATCGTGTTTATGACCCTGATAGTGGCAATGTTATTCTGAGCAGAGATCATAGAAAAAGTCAAAGAGAAAATCGACTTGGTTGTTCAAAATACTGAATTAAAGAGAGAAGAAAAAAGTTTTGAAGGTAATGTAAAGAGATAACGATGATACAGATGAAAAACTTGTCCAAGAAATTGAGGTTGAAACAAATAAACTGAGAAGGTCGGAAAGAGAACGGAAACCAAACGATTTTTGTGATTATGTAACGTACATGACAAAATCTGAAGTTGATTTGGAAGATGTTCCAACTACTGTGGCAGAAGCGTTTTCAAGGTCTGATAGTTATCAATGGAAACAAGCTATGGAAGATGAAATGAAGTCGTTTAATGAAAATATGCATGGGAATTAGTGAATATTCCGGAAAGTGGTACTATAATTAGTAACAAACAAGATAACGTATAAAGCACGTTTAGTAGCAAGAGGATTTACTCAAAGACATGGAATCGACTTTGATGAAACATTTGCACCGGTTGTTCGACATTCGACACTGAGACTGTTGATAGCTTGTCTGTTAAATTAGATTTAAATATAACACATTTAGATGTTGAAACAGCTTTTCTAAACAATTTGTTAGAAGAAAATGTGTATATGAAACAACCTGAAGGTTTTTTGTAAATAAAGAAAATGGAGATAAAGTTTGCAAATTGAAAAAGGCTATTTATGGTTTGAAACAATCATCTCGAGAATGGTATAAAAGTGTAAATGAAGTTTTGCATAAATTAAATTTTAAGAAATCCAATTTAGAACCTTGTTTGTATTTAAAACGAAAAATTGTTAACTGTTATAGCGCTTTATGTAAAATTTGCCTTATCAAAAACTAATAGGAAAGTCTTATGTATCTGGCAGTACTAATTCATTACTGACTGGCAGTAAATTGTTTAAGTCAATTTAATACTTGTGATACACATTGGAAGACTGCAAAACGAATTTTAAAGTACTTAAAAAAAACAGTTAAATTAAAATATGAAAAGCAGATTGGGCATCAAATACAACAGATAGAAAGTCTTATACGGAATTTGTTTTTAAACTTACAAATGGAGCTGTTTCATGGCAAAATAGAAAGCAAAAAATAGTTGCTTTGAGTAGTACTGAAGCTGACTACATGGCTATTTCAGATGCGACAAAAGAATCAATATATCTTAGAAATTTGTACAATGAGATAGTAGATAAAAATTTTAAGCAGCATTGTGTTACAATTAATAACGACAATCAAAGTGCACAAAAGCAATGTATGAATCCTGTATACAGGGTGTCCCGTTAAGCGTACGGAGCGGCTGTATCTCTACAACGGTAAGGCCTCGAGGTTTGGGAAAAAAATCCTTATAAGCAAACTGACCAAGAGAAATAGCTGGAAATTATTTTGAAGTTCGTAATTCGACCGCTAGGGGGCGTAACTGCCATTGAGAAACATAAAATTCGCGCTATCTCAGAAACTTAGACGATGAGCTATAACTTTGACGACATCACTTAGTAGCTTGGATAATACCGCATCGCTTTTGTTTTGCGATATTTCTCATATCTGTCATAATAAGGGAGGGGGAGGCCAATGCGTTTTCATATGTTTACATTTTAATATCTCCTGGACCATTCAACCGATTTGAATATTTTCGGTGTTGTTTGAAAGAGCATTTTATGCTCTTTTTAAAGATATTTTCAGTAAGACCGTCTGCTTTAAAACAAATGAGCTAGAGGACGTTATCTGCAGCGATTACATATTTTTGTGATTTTTGAAGAAAAGTTAAATGGAACGATACTATTTACTTCACAGACCCTTAGTCACCTTAAAATTTGCTAAATTTTAGTGAAAACCGCATCTCGATATCGCCACCCGTTCTCGAGTTATAGAAGAAAATGTTAAAAACTCGAGTGCCATCAATCGGATCCAGTTACCTCATCGAGAAAAACAAATCACATTACCATGGTAACTGTAAACATGTCATTTACTAACGCAGAAGCGTATGATAGAGCGTATGATGATTTATTTTCAATGTTTCGAATACGATGCAACTGCATGGCAAAAATGTGCAATGCAATTACGACAAAGAAAGACATTTTTCTCTAGAAGTGTTTTTAAGATTGACTTAGCGATTACGGAAAACTGGCAACGTGTAGCCCATTCAGACATCTCTATGAATTCGTAAATCATATTGGTGCGCAATGTGATCCCACATAATCTGGGAACTCCGAAAACAATTGTCCACAAGAGTTCTCAAGAGAATAATATCTCCACCACGTTGTTTTACATCAGGCCTTAACAGATACCGATTATGATAACAGACTGAACTATTACCATTGACTTTTAAATATGATTTGGGCAAATCCAAACCTTTTATCACAAATGCTATGGATGCATGAAGCATCTGTCCACAAGCTGATGTAAACTTGCATAATATGCATTCTTGGTTCGAGCAAAACCCACATTGCTTTCACCCCTTTATCTATTGCGTAGACTAAACGACCTGACTTTTCAAGAAAAACCAATAACCAGGGAAAATATGACAAAACACTAAATATCAGTAGAAACGTATCCAGGGCCGAGACTTAAGTAGCGTTTTTTTTCAGCGAAACTACATTAAATAAATGTATCGATGTTTATGGAAGGCATTTCGCACATTAGTAGTAGCTATTTTTGCCAAAAATTTAGTGTTTTGCTTTATTTTGTTTTATTATCATTGTTGATGTTTCATTGCTACTATTAATGCTTTTAAGCACGCCTTAAAAGTAGTTTTGAAGCAGTTCTAAGCATGGATAAAGTGTGAAGGAAGGTTCTACATAATAAAATAGTTGTGCTCTCTTATTTGTTTCCTAAGGTAACTTGATCCGATTAAGATATACGAATTTTTAACATTTTCTTTTATAATTCGAGAATGGATGGAGATATCGAGATGCGGTTTTCACTAATATTTAGCAAATTTTATGGTGATTAATGGTTTGTGAAGTAAATAGTACCGTTCCGTTTAACTTTTTTTCAAAAATCACAAAAATATGTAACCGCTGCAGATAACGCCCTCGCGCCTATTTGTTTTAAACCAAGCGGTCATATTGAAACTATTTTTATTAACTATTTATTAAACATTTGAAAACGCATTGGCCTCCCCCTCCCTTATTACGACAGATATGAGAAATATCGCAAAACAAAAGCGATGCGGTATTATCCAAGCTACTAAATGATGTTGTCAAAGTTATAGCTCATCGTCTAACTTTCCGAGATAGCGGGAATTTTATGTTTCTCTATGGCAGTTACGCCCCATAGCGGTCGAATTACGAACTTCAAAATAATTTACAGCTATTTCTCTTGCCCACATTGCTTATAAGGTTTCTTTTCCCAAACCTCTAGGCCTTACCGTTGTCGAGATACAGCCGCTCCGTACGCTTAACGGGACACCTGTATATATCATGATAGGACGAAGCATATTGATATTCGTCATCATTTTGTGAGGGAGAAAATTAACGATGGTGTTGTTAAACTATGTTATTTGAGTTCTGACGACATGCCGACGTACTTACAAAGGACTTGTAAAAGAATAATAATTTTAATATAGTGAGGGTGTAGTTTATAATTTATAATATTAAAATTGTATTGTATTAGTTACTAGTGCGACATCTCTCGTTCGGAACTAATAAATAGTGTAAAGAATGTGGTTATGTGAAAATGAGTTGAAATAAATGGCTGGACTTTTATCCCGTGTGTTTGACCGTAGATTGACATTAACTGAGCTTGGTTAACGTTAAAAATAACACATGTCACCAATTATTTACAAAAATATTGCCATATTGTTGCCTTTAGAGTTGCAAAAATAGCAGTAAGAAGGGCTTTCGACTCTTCAGAGTACCACGAGAAAAAAAAAAGAAAGAAAATTTGGAGTAATTTTATCAACAGAGTCAAAATGGCTGTAAACCGCGGTACTTTAGCCCGAAAGAGGTTTGGACCGGAAATCACATCAAGTCGTTAGTTAGAAGGTTCTCGAACGAGTAGAGTAGCGAATTTGAACATAAAATTATAATTATTTTGTTTAAATATACAATATACAGGGTGTGTCAAATGTCGGGAATATAGCCAATAACTTCGCCATTTGTGGTTTTAAAGAAAAATGTTTCAGATACAAGTTTCTTTATTAATCGTGGCGCATTTTTTGGCGATATTTGCTTGTTTGTATTGTTTTTTGTTTCGTTGCTATGGCAACCAACGTTGTTATTTTAAATGGGATGTATATATTTTCTTTGCAGACTTTGATAGAGGACAAATCCCTCTATGCGATGAACATATCAAATCATATGGTTCTATAAGAAAAAAATCGAGAAAAAACGCGGTTTCTAACAATACTAAACCAGCAAATTACAACCAAAGTACGTGCCGAAATAATACGCCGTTGACAACTTTAAATGTCAAAAAAATGACAGTTCAAACAAATATGGCGCAATTAAGAATCCAAATATTAATGATTTGGTGGAAAAACACGCACTCAAAGTGAAGTTTATAGTAGTAGTTATTATTCTTAACACTTCCGGTGTTAAAGGATTTTTTGTAATGTTTTTTTTTAATGTTTTGGATTGTGTAATTTGTGTATCCGGGTAAATATTACTGAACAGTGTATAAACTTCACTTTAAGTGCGTTTTCTTTCACCAAATCATTAATATTTGGATTCTTAATTGCGCCATATTTGTTTGAACTGTCAATTTTTTGACATTTAAAGCTGTCAACGGCGTTATTTCGGCGCCTAGTTAGATTGTAATTTGCTGATTTAATATTTTCAAAGAACCCTTTTTTTCTTATACAACCATATGATTTGATGTGTTCATATCCTCTATCAAAATATGCAAAAAAACATATGCATCCCATTTAAAATAATAATGTTGGTTGCCATAACAACGAAACAAAAAACAAGTAAATATAGCCAAAAAATGCGCCACAATTAATACAGAGTTTTTTATTTGAAACATTTTTCTTTAAAACCACAAATGGCGAAGTAATTGATTATGTTCCAGACATTTGAACACCCTGTATATCTAAATCAACGTTTAGTTTATATGTTTAACAAAATGAAAAATTAAATCATTTTTAACTTACAGTTTGTGATTCTAAAGCATCTTGCAACCTCAATCTGCGAATGCTCGCCAAATCTCTCACTTGGGTTAACTTCGATTTCACCTGGATAGCTTTATCATTGATAATTTTCGAAGAAACATGCCCCGATCTCGCTAAATGGGTCNTATGGAGCAATTTGAAAAACAAAAGTTAATAATCGCTTAAAATTGAAGATGGCCTTGAAAAAAATTTATTTGTAGCATGAACCATAGTATTCATCAAACCATTTCATTTGATACCTCGGTCATGAAAATCGGAATATAAATGACAGAGTTACAGCTTGGGGCGTTTTTTGTGTGACACCCTGTATATACTCAAACTCATCCGCTTTTTTAGCATATGCTCACAAAATTTGTTCCGCACTCAAACGGTTAAAGTCCCCTAGTTTATTATTAGAAGTAGAACTAACACTAGAAGTAGAAATATTCGGGTTTAGTCGTCTTGAGAGACGAGTGAAAAATCATTAGAAAGTTTTTAGACACTTTTGGACATCTCTAAAAATCTTCCGGAAATCTTTATAACTGTCTAGACCTAGAACTAGAAATATTCGTATTTAGCCATCTTAAGAGAGGAACGACTAAAGCCGAATGATTCTAGTTCTAGGTCGACTGTTAGTTCTAGTGACAATGTTAAGTAGCGCTAGTAGGCACTAGATAGCGCTAAATTGTATGTTGTTATCAAACTAAAACTAGAAGTCTTCAGACGCACGGCTAATCCCGGAACTTTCTAGTTTTAGGTCTAGTGTTAGTTCTAGTTTTATTTGTTATTCATCATCAAATTGTTGTATGTTTTTATTGAACTCGTAATTTTTACTATAGTTTAGCTTTCTAGGGTTAACCCAAAATAAAGTCCCTAGATTATCAAAGTACCGTGGTTCATGAAGCCTGTGTATTCGAACTATCCGAGCCAAAATGGCGGTTTGACAGCTTGTCAGTCATGTCATAACTTATTTACAAAAATATTGCCGCCTTGTTGTGTTTGGAGTTGCAAAAATAGCAGTAAGAAGGGTTTCGACTCTTCAGAGTACCACGAAAGAATAAATTTTGCGTAATTTTATCAACAGAACGATATAATTTTAAATTTCCCGCGTGACTTTCGAGTCAAAATGGCGGAGTATTTTAACCCGGAACAGGTTTGGACCGGAAATCAGATCGAATCGTCAGTTAGAAGGTTCTCGAACGAGTAGAGTAGCGAATTTGAATAGAAAATTATAATTATTTTCTTTAAATTATATAATATATATCATTTTAAACTTACAGTTTGTGATTCTAAAGCATCCTGCAACCTCAGCCTGCGAATACTCGCCAAATCTCTCACTTGGGTTAACTTCGATTTCACCTGGATAGCTTTATCGTTGATAATTTTCGATGAAACATGCCCCGATCTCGCTAAATGGGTCGCCCTGGTCATTAAAGCTGCGATTATCGGTTCTCTCGAAACCAATTCAGACTCTAAACCTTGATGTTTTTTCTGCAAACTTTGGACGGCTGTTAAACTATTTCCTAAATCGGTTGAGCTAGCTAGCGGTTCTTTTTCATTCAACCACTCTAACTCGTTATCAACATCCCTGCTAAATTGATGTAACAAACACGACGCTTCAAGTTGTTCCCTCCTATTTTCAAGAGGTTCTTGTAGTTGATTAAATCTCAAAATTAAATCGTCCGATCTCATTTGGAGTTCTTCGAGCATGAAGTGATCAACGCTTGCGAATTTCTCCATTTGATCGGTGATGTTATCGCAGGTTTCAACGTGTTGTTGAACATCACTTTCTAACCCATTTTGTTTTTTCATTAAATTATTCACCGCCGTTAAATCTTGACCTAAATCTTGAAGTTGTAATTGTTGCTCAACGTCGTTTAACCACGATTCGAATTCGTCTAAATTCCTGTTGAACATTAACGCTTGATAAGCGTCGTTTAATCGATCTCGTTTTAACCCAGAAAGTTCTTGTAATTGTTTCCAATCGTGGACTAATTCTTCTAAGCGCGCTTCGATTTCTTTACTTGCAAAATGATGGTTGTGAATTAAAAATTGGCCCTCATCGATAACCGAATTAATCCTGTTTGTGTTCGCAACGATTTCGGCATCGAAAGCGGAATGTTTTTGAATTTTGCTTTGAAGATTACTTGGTTCCCTGTAATTCTCATCGGTCGCAACTTGAGTTTTTTGAACCAACCACCCTTCAACTTCGTGTATGTTCCGGATGAATTCATGCAAAGCTTTCGATTCTTCCAATTTATTATTTCGTTGTTTCGTTGATTCTAAAAGGCGATCTCGTCGATTTAAAATCGATTTTAATTCGGAATGAACTTCGGAGTTGTCGTAATTTGCGTCGGATAAAATCCCATTTCCGATTTTTTCTAAATCATTAACTCTACTTAATTGTTGCCCTAAAGTGATTTCGAAATCTTGTTGTTTTCTGATTAAAGATTCGACGGCTCTTGGGTTATCACCGACGTCGTCGTTGTTTAAGAAGGCTTCTTTCGAAGCGAACCAAGAATCTAATTGATCGGCTTGTTCTTTAAATTCTTGTACTTCGTATTCGTGGGATAAATCTTTTTTGTGCATTTCCCAAGCTTCGTTTATTTTTAATTGAAGATCTTGGAGGGTTATTAAGGCTTCTTTAATTTCCGCGTGGTTTTTACGGACTAAGTTTTTGCCGTATTCGCCGAGGTGTGCAAAAGCTTCTCTTCGGCCGTCAATTTCGGCTTTTTGTTCGTTATGGAGTTCTAGGAGTGCTTTGGCGTCAGCTACACTTTGAGGTTTATTTTGGGATAACATTCTTTTGATACTCTCACCGACCCAAATTTCTAAATCTTTTAATTCCGAATAGAATTTTTGAACCTCGTAGGCTGCTGAGAGGGATTTATTTCGCTTTTTGGCCATTTCGGTTAATTCGTCCCATTGATTATGTAAATCGATTATTTTCGCTTGGATGTGTCTTCCGTGGTCGGGGTATTTTATTTTTAAATTTTGCGCATCTCTTTCGTGCTCCTTTATTTTGTTTTTAATCGTCGACATTTCGGTTTCTAAAGTTTCGTGTTTTCTTTGTAAAACTTCGACTCCGTTTAAGTCTCGCCCTAAGTCGGAAATTTCCATTGATAAAGCTTTTTCTGTTATCCTATCTGTGGTGTCATCAACGTCGCGATTAAAAAGATGTATTTCTAAAGCCCCTGATAACTTGTTGCGATATTGACCTAAAGCTCCTTGCAAATTGTGCCATTTATTAACAAATTCTTGTCTGCGCTCTCTAACTCCTTTTTGGCCCTGCTTTATTAATTTGTCGGCTAAATTGTTGATGTTTTTTATTTTAATGTCGTCGACCCTCATATCGCTATCGACGTCGTCTAATTTCCTTTGTAAAGCTTGGCAATGTTCGTAATCTTTTCCTGTATCACCGGCTTGTATCATAACCTCTTTATCGCGAATCCAAGCCTCGATCTTATCTAATTGGTTATTAAACTCTAAAATATCTTGAGCCTCCTCCAATCCTTTACCTTGAAGCGTTAATTCCTGATTTAATTTCCTCCAAGCTAACTCTAAATCTTGAAGTTGCCGCTTAATTTGTAAAGAAGCTTCGTGTTTCTTAGCCAACAATCTTTCACCTTTATTTTTAATTTCGTCAATCCGACTTTCATTGGCGGTTACTTCAGCTTGGAAAGCTTGGTGTTTTTGTAATTTTTTAATTTTCTCTTCTAACTTAGTAGCTTCCCCCATCCTTATAGTATTTTCCAAATTCTTTTGCTTCTCAAATATCCAAGCTTTCGCATCCGTTACATCCCTAATAAACTCAGCATACAACAAAGCATCCTCAAGTTGGTATTTTCGCTTAACGCATAATTGTTTTATTTTAATCCTTTTATCCTCAATATCGGCTAATTTGCTCAAAATTTGTGGGCTCTCAAAGTGTTTCTTTTCAACCAACATTTCCCCTAACACATGTAATTGCTCTAAACGCTCATCTTGGACGTTAATTAATTTCTCAAACGCTTCATGTTTCTTAAAATTAGAAGCAACCTCTTCAACCGTATTTCCAAAATCTGATTTATTCAAAATATTTTCTTGCGCATTCGCTGTATTTTCTAGTTGTTTAGCGTCCCTTAAGAAATTGTAGAGGTCTAAAAGTTGGTCTAAATACAAATTCCTTCTTTGCCAAGCTTGATGGAGCTTCTCCCTCTCCTGATATAAAGCGTTACAACGCTCGATAGCTTCAGGAGCTGCGTCATTTTCGTTTTGTTCCATCATCGCGCACATCTCAGTTGCTAATTCAAAGTTCTCCTCGCGTGCTTCAATTTCACCTTTTAAAGCTTCATGTTCAGTTTTTAAAGCTTTAGCTCTCGCGGCGCTTCGAATATTTTCTTGGGCGGTCATCGCAATTCGCAAACTTGAAGCCCAACTGGTCAAATCCCTCGCTAAAGCCAAAAACTTTTGCAAATCAACGCTAGCTTCGAGTTGCTCTTTGCGCAAATCAGCGCGTTCTTTTAATCCTTCCCAAGCCGTAACGACCAATTCTTGTTTTTCTTGGATGTTTTTCTTATTCGATGGGTAGGTGTGTTGTAATCGGGTCGCATCTTCAACTAAATTTTGTAATTGAGTCCCCAAAACGACGAGTTCGTTCTCAAAAGCTTCTTGTCGGCGTAAAAAGGCCAAAGCCGAGTTTAAATCTCGACCTAATTCCGTGCCTAAAGCCGCGCTTTTTTCGTGAATTCGAGATAAAGCGTCGGCTACGTCGCGATGGAAACGATGGATTTCGCCGGCTGCGTGAAGGCGTTGTTGGCGATGATCAATTTGTTGACGGAGACGCTCCCAATTTTCTCTATAAATTTAAATTTAACATCAAAATAATTTTATTAAGCAAGAAGGTTAAAAAGAAATTGGGTTAGTACGAAAACGGAAGTGTTAATTACCGGATAATAGCATGTCTAGCGGCTACTTCAGTTACAGCTTCTGATTCTTCCCCCCTAAAACAATTTAGTTACCAACACCATAAGATTAAATATAAAATTAAAGGGATTAATTTATTAAAAGCACCAAAATCTACTTTAACCACATTTAGATTACAATAAATCACTTACTCCAATTGATGTTGTTTCTTGACGATATCAGAGCTGTACGGGCTTTCATTTGCGATTAATTTTTGCGCTAAATCTTCACATTGTCTAAATCGTTCGGATCCGGATTCAACTCGGTGTTTAAAATCATCAAATTTCGCTTGGAGTAACTATTAAAATTAATAGTATATTATTATATGAGCATATAATGAGGGCTATTATATGTGAGTAGAATGCTTAATTCACGATTTTTTTAAATAAATTTTTGAATACAGTCTAAACGTCAATGTGACACAAATTCAATGTCACCAATTGTAACCAACTTCACAACAAATCGTCAAAATTAAATGTCAATTTTATGAAACGTCATTTTTTTTAATACTTTGTCTACGACTATTGAAATTGATTCCATAATAGTATATTATTAATTATTATATGAGCATATAATGGGGGCATAATTAACCTGACAGTTAAGTACATTTAATTTTTGTAACGAATTAGTTATTAGGTTGTGCATTTTTCTCAACCTAACCTAACTTTTTCAAGGACTATTTAACTCGTCCAAAAACTAATAATTTTAGGTTACGTCGTGCGTCTTTGACGCGTGAATAATCTAAAATGATTCAAATAATGATTAAATTACATTTTATATAAAATGAATCGACTTACAAATATTTTTAAATTGACATAAAAAAGTTAGGTTATGTCTGAAACTTCATTCCGAGATAAAAATCGTTTAAAATTGGTTTAAGCAAACCATTCGGATGGTGAAAAATGTCTTTAATTGTTTCTTTCGGTAGAACCTTTTTTTCGTAAAAATTAATAATTTTTGTACGAAATTTTTCTAAATGTCAAAAACACGATTAATATGGGGGATAATCACTAGATGGGGGTGACGAAAATATTTAATTAACAAATTTGAAATAATTTAATAAAAATTATGTTTGTATTTAAAAAAATCGGTGATTTTCGATTTAATTAAACGTTAATATAACAAAAATTCAATAAAAAATTAGTAAAAAAAATTAATTAATGTTACTTAAATTTCACTAGATGGCGCTAACTCCTACTGCGTCTTTTTCAAATGACATTTTTGACGTTTCATTAAAAAAAAAATTATTTAACTCATTTTGAGTTAGAAATAAAACTAAAACTAGAAATTTTGAGGTTATGCCGTGCGTCTTTAACTTTTACAACTTAACCTCACTTTACTAATCCGCTTTATAACATTTTAGCGATTTATAAGAACCAATCACGTTTGAAACAGCTACAAAAAGTAAACTCGGCCGACTTCGAAGATCTAACTCAAAGTTCTGATGAAATCCGTGATGGCCGGGGGCGGCCGATGTCTTCGAAAACGGCCGTGTTGGTTTAAATCTATGCTGAAACATGATGAAGATTTTAGTTTGTTATCTACCTTTTATCTGTCCTAACCTGACTTTTCTAAACCAACCTAACCTCACTTTTTCAAGTGACATTTATGACGTTTCACTAAAAATTTCTTCTCAAAGCGCTAATATGAAACAAAATCGACGAAGATGCACTGCGTGAGTAAAATAACTTTGTTTTTAATGAAACGTAAAAAAATATCACTTGAAAAAGTGAGGTTAGGACGAATATAAGATAGATAAACAAAAATAACACATTTCCCAGCACAGTTTTAAACTAACACGGCCGTGTTCGAAGACATCGGCCGCCCCCGAGGGCACGAAATGTTTATTCTTAAAAATGCGAGTAGAGGAGAACTAATGCTTAAACGTCAATGTGACACAAATTCAATGTTACCAACTGTAACCAACTTCACAACAATTTGTCAAAATTAAATGTCAATTTTATGAAACGTCATCATATGATACGTTTTTTTAATGTCAAACATTTAGAAAGTCCTAAAAAATTAAATTAAATTGACGTTTTTTGAAATTTTGACTTTTCAAATAATTAATATTAGTCTGTCAAGATGATGTTAGAAAACTCATTTATAAAGTATTATAAGGTAGTCGTAGACAAAATTATTAATTAATAATAAAATTAATCACAAATTTCTTACCATTAAATGTTCATAATCTTGGCCATAATCTTCTGATGAGGCTTGTTGAAATTGTTCCGCAATCCATTGATCTAATTCGTTACTTTCAACAAAATATTCATGCCTAAAAAGTGACTCCATCAATCTTTGTTGTCTCCACGCGGCCTTTCTTTGTAGTTGTTTCAACATATGTTCCAAAGTGGTTTGTCTTTCGGCAATCGTTTTAGCATTGGGGTGAGATGATTGAACCAAAGCGTTCGCTCCGCGTCCCATTTCCGCAATAATCCCGTTATAACTATCCAATTCCAATTCCAAAGCTTTATGCTTAGTTAAGAGTTTAGTTGCTGAATCGCGATCTCTTCCGTAATCGGTGTTTGATAACATATCGTTCTTCTCATTTAACCAAGACTCAACTTCGCTGGCTTCTGAGAAATATTGTTGGGCTTTAAGCGATTGTTCTAGTTTTAAAGCACGCAATGAAGCTTTTTCTTTCAAATCAGACCAAGCTGAACGTAAATGATCGCAAAGATTTTTAACTTTTTGGTGTTCCGGGTGTTTTTGATCTATTAAAAGTTGTCCCGCTTCTAAACTTTTATCGATAACCGGTTGATGACCAACGATTTCAGCTTCTAATTTTTTATGCTTTTTATCATAATTTTGCGCCTCGTGTAAATTTTGCCCCAAAAGTTCGGATGAAGCTAAAGGAAGGTGTTCTTTAATCCACTGCAACTCATTATCCAACTCAAATTCGAATTTGTAATATTTCAAAGACTCCTCCAAAGCTTCGCGCCGTTTTCGAGCTGGATCATCCAACGTTTCCAACCTCTTATTACAATCCAAAGCTTTATCTTGAATCGCTGAAGAATCGAAATGATCGTCGTGAGTCATCTCATCGCTTTGATTACCGAGTTCATTAACGCGTGAATTACAAAGAGCTAATTCATTTTCAACCATTTCATGTTTTTTCAATAAATCCCGACAAGATCTTAAATCGTTTCCAACATTTGGATCGTTAAATCCTTTTTCGATATCGTTCAATTTATTATGCATATCTTCAATTGAACTGTTGTATTGGTGTTGAGTTTGGGCTTGTCTTAATCTTCGTCCTTTATCAACGGAAATTCCAACAAGTGATTGCCACTCATCGTTAAGTTCTTTTAAAGTTTTAGCGACTTCATCCTTTTTATAACTATCCTGAGCGATTAAAGCTTGGCCCAATTTATTTACCGTTCTTAATTGACCTTCGTTTGCTCGTAATTCTCGTTCGAAAGCTTCGTGCTTTTGAAGTTTACGCTCCAAGTTACTTAAATCGCGATAACTCTCATCCGAAGCTGTTTTTAATTTATCTTGAAGCCAACCGCGTAAATCGTTGACTTCCGCGCAAAATTCTTGGTAATTTTTAGATGCATCTAAAGCGTAAGTTCGGGATTGACATAAATTTTTAACATCTTGGCGTTTTGCTAGTACTTGATTTCTTCTATCATCGATTCTAATTTAAAAAAATAATTATTTTGTGAAAATGAGTATTTAATAAAAAAAATTTACCCTTGACTATCGTAATGTTGTTCTGCAATTAACGCATCCGCTTTTTTACTAAACGCTATGACTCTATCGTCTTGGGCTACCAAAGTATTTGCGAAAGCTCGGTGTTGTTTTAATAAAGCTTCAACCTCATCCAATGAATTCTAAACGGAAATAGATTACTGATTGTTTGTATTAAAGGGGTTCTTTTAACTTACCCCGAGATCAGAGAATTCTAAGAAAGCGTGATGACTTGAAGAAGCGGCATCGATGTGATCGGCTTCTTTATTGAAATTTTGTAATTGCAAACATTGTTGGAGCCACGCTTGTTTTTCCTTCCAACCGCGATGAATCGCTTCTTGTTCGGCGAGTAAACGTTCCAAATTATCGGCTACGTCTGTTAATCCTGGATTTGACTTAAGCAGTTTTTCCCCGAGATCGGTCACTTGTTTAAACCTGGAGAATTTGGGGACATTTTAATCAGAATTTAGATAAAACGAAGTTATTAATCTTCGTTTTATAAATAAATTTAAATTTTAGGTTATGTTTGTTTTTTTATTTTATAGATTATGTTGTTAAGTTACTTACTTAAGCTGACAATGAATTTATGACGATTTAATTTATTTATGAACTTGTGCTTTATCACTTTTTTGTAATGAAAAACTAAGTTCATAACAATTTCGTAAATTAATTATTAACAATTATTAGAAATTTAACAACATAAGTAGTAATTTTAAATCTTGATTGGTAAGCAGCGTTGCCAACCCTACCGATATACCACTTAATCTACTGATTTAAAAAATTTTGATATAGTATTATGAAACACATAGTACTTAAAATCAATACAATTGCGACAAAAATTGTACCTTATGGGAATACCCTACTTATATTTCATAAAAGTTTATACCAACGATATGGCAATGTTGCTCGAGCAACGTTGCCAGATCGTTATTATATACAGTACGCGTCATAAGTAATTTGCGTAATTTGAAAACGATTCAAAATATAATATTGTCAAAATAGATATTGACGCATCTAAGAGCAAAAGTGCAAGAGAGCATTATTGTTAACAATCAAATTTGCTACAACTTTTGTTCTAAAAGTTTTTTTATAACAAGCTCCGATTCCCGAATGTTACCTTTAATAACTTGAAAAAGCAACAAATTCATCAAATTTTCGTATCAACCTCGATATTGACGTATCTAAGAGCAAAAGTGTAAGAGAGCAATATTGTTAACAATAAAATTTGCAACAATTTATGTTATAAAAGTTTTCTTATAGGAAGCTCCGATTCTCAAGTGTCACCTTTAATAACTTGAAAGAGCAACAAATTCATAAAATTTTCATATTTTCGAATCTATCACAATATTGACGTATCTAAGTGCAAAAGAGCAATATTGTTAACAATAAAATTTGCAACAATTTTTGTTATAAAAGTTTTCTTATAGCAAGTTCCAATTCTCAACTGTTACCTTTAATAACTTGAAAGAGCAACAAATTCATCAAATTTTCATATTTTCGTACTTTTCTCGATTATGACGCATTTAAGAGCTAAAATGCAAGAGAGCAATATTGTTAACAATAAAATTTGCAACAATTTATGTTATAAAAGTTTTCTTATAGCAAGCTCCGATTCTCAACTGCTACCTTTAATAACTTAAGAAACCTACAGATTCATCAAATTTTCATATTTTCGTATCTATCACGATATTGACGCATCTACTAGCAAAAGTGCAAGAGAGCAATAATGTTAACAATAAAATTTGCTACAACTTTTGTTCTAAAAGTTTTTTTATAACATGCTCCAATTCCCGAGTGTTACCTTTAATAACTTGAAAAAGCAACAAATTCATAAAATTTTCATATTTTCGTATCTATCTCGATATTGACGTATTTAAGAGCAAAAGTGCAAGTGAGCAATATTGTTAACAATAAAATTGGCAACAATTTTTGTTCAAAAAGTTTTCTTATAGCAAGCTCCGATTCTCAAGTGTTACCTTTAATAACTTGAAAGAGTAACATTTTCTTATTTTCGTATCTATCTCAATATTCATGCATATAAAAGCAAAATCTCTTGCACACCAATTTCTTAATAATAAAATTTGCTACAACTTTTGTTGTAAAAATTTTTTTGTAACATGCTCCAATTCCTAAGTTTTATCTTTAATAACTTGAAAACACATCTAAGAGCAAAAGTGTATGAGAGCAATATTGTTAAGAATAAACTTTGCTACAACTTTTATTTTAAAAGTTTTTCGTAACATCATTCCATGTGTAACTCATAACTTATATAGGATGTTCAAAAATTGGCGGATAATCTACACGTAGCGACATTCTACGAGCAACTCTGAATTGAAAATCTTAATGTTCTTCTAAAATCTAAATGTTGTTCTACTAAGTTGCCAAATGTGATTTTCATGATAATGAAAAAATGTTAAAAACGAAATTTAAAGCTAAAGAAAATAATTTTAACAAAAAAACTAGTTTTCAAAATTCTTTTTATTCTAAATTACAGCTTATTTATCAACAGATATTGAAAATTAATGATTATTTATGGTCAAATTATCCGACCTTTGAGAACCCCATAAAGACGTATGAAGCATGGTACAACATTTTACAATTAAGATTTTCGCTTTAGAATCGAACAAAGAATGTCGCTGCGTGTAGATTATTTCTGAACATCCTGTATACAGGATATATTATTCTGAAGCGATTTTTCTAATAAAAATTTTTCGAAATAATCGCACGGGAACCGTATAATGTTCTGATGCGGAAGATATGGGACACCTGTATACCGGGTGTGGCTCACCCCCATATTTTTTTTTATTATTAGTGATATAAGAAAACCATTTGGAATGCATAGTTAGCTCGCTAAAACGGATTATTACGACATGAAATCATTCTTTTTGTACTTCCGGTTATACCGGATGTGAGTACTAATTTCGCTATTTTTTTAAATCTATAATTTTTTTTTCTTCAGTTGGGTAGACACTATAATTTCACATAAGTTTTACTTGAAAAAATTTTCACGATCGCCTATGATTTTTGAAAAAAAAAATATTTTCGTTATTTTTTAACGTTTTAGTACCTTCGGAAAATGTATTACAACTTTTGACGCATAGTAGCTAGGTTAATAGTATAAACTACGTTATGTCCCTCTAGGTTTGCTATTTCTCGAGCAGTAATCACTGCTATGCTTTAATCAGTGGTTCTTTTTTAATAATGGTGTAAATTAACAGTTGTATTAAATTAGTTTTAAAAGAAAAACGCTATCCAACAATTAAATTTAATTCAATTGTAAGTTCAAAAAAACTAATTTTCTAAATTTTCAAAATGCTCCCGCCTCGATTTTGACATAATTGTATCTTGCGTATTGT